CCGTTGAAGATTTTTAGGCCTACCTCGCCATTCTTCTTCCTCGACTGTAGTTTTGGTTAGTGTGATTCTTTAACGAAACCTTACAGGTCAAACTTATCCGCTAACCTTGTCCTCCAGAACCTTATCGTTTGACGCATCGTTTCCCATATTTAGATCTAAGCTTCTGGTCGTCTATTTAGCCGAAGTCACATCTAGCACTTGCAGAATGACAGTGGCTTCGTTTTAAAGAACTCCAAGCTTCTCTTTTGTTGTTCTCCAGTCCAAATCTATCAAACTCAACTCTCAACTATGATTTTCGCTTCACTTCGAGTATTTACCAGGTCAACTGCTCTCGGAAAATCGTCCTTCTATTACCCATTTACAGTGCTCAGTGATATAGCTGCAGAACACCGTGCCGGTCAACCGTTTGGCAAGGGCATCTCCGCATTCCATGTTTGGGCCCTCCTCCTAAGTAATGCCAGAAGCCTTGTTCACGGCAAAGTCACCGCTGCCTTCAGCTGTCCCTTTGTGTTACTGTCCATTGGCCGAGTTCTCTTCGTCGATATCTACAGAACTTTTCTCATCCTGGGTCTTGAAGCTAGTCCCCGACTGCGTATTCCAGTACAATATAGGCACGAATCTACCTAATTTGATAGTACACCAAGACCCATAAATACCAAATAGTGTTCATTTACTTTTTTCGGCCAAGGTGCAAGGCTCAGTTGCGTCCATAGCGAAATTGTGAACCCTTGGTATATGTTCAATTATTTCTTTACGTGTTCCATATCTTTTACTTATTCATTCGGTTGCCTAAAGCATTTCTTTGTCAGACATCGGGACTATAGTGGGAATGAAAATAATTCTCATACTATAAGTATTTTCCAGTGAAGAAAAGACGTTGATAGGCATCTTTAAATAAGATCAATAAGAGTGACCATGCGACTCTACTGTGGGATTACTCGCTGTATTCTGCACGCTAGAAGGGAACGGAAGGCCAGTAAAATATATGGAAGGTGGATTATAAGTCAAAAACGTGCTAACGTCCTTGAATTGGAACTGCTTGTTCTAGGGGGAGGGGTCAGAAGACGACTGGAGATCGTTTAAGATGATTTCACTAAATCAAATTGAGTGCTGTTGTCCGCTGAAGGTACAAAAGAAGACTTGTGGCCCCGCCTGATTGACAAGCGACCTTAACGGACAGTCAAAGGGGAAAATAAGAAACTGAAGTTATTCAGGGAAACTGGGTCATATGTACACCTGGATGAAATTCGACACCAACGAAATACGGCAGAAAAATTTATCCATCGGGTGAGGAAGAAAGATGAATCAAGAATTATCCGACGGACTGAAAATGAACCTAACATTTTATTCCACTATATTAATATTTGACTAAAAAGACGAGGAACCAGTCGCAGTGCCTAAGAATTATGATTGCGTAGGCGTCGTAGAAAATGACGAGAAAGTCAAGTGCTGTGGCCGGTTCTTTGCCTCTGTATTCACCAAGGAAATTGAGCTTCTGTTTCACAAGGTCAGCAGTGCTTTTGTAAACGCTGATCTATTGCTTCAATTCCTATACTTTCCGCTGTCGAAAGAGATTTGCAAAGCCTCAGACACGCAAAGCCATCCCCTCCGGACGATATACCGGTCAAGTTATTGAGAGAATTGGCGATCGAGTTTTCAAAACCATTAGTGAATATCTTCCATTTGTCATACACTCAAGTGACTTAAGGCGACTTATACCAACAATGAATTCTAATGCCATACATTTAATTGGAGTATTCATGTATGCCCATCTTTAAAAGAAAACCTGGCAACACCCTATCACACAGCACTTATCACCCAGAAGCGCTAAAACTTGCCTGTATGCGAAAAAATTAATCGAGCATTATGCAAATATTTATATTTATACTTATTGTTAAGCAGTTATGGGGACGAAATCAGCCATGCACTCACGGCCGTCGACGAGAAGTACA